CACCTTTTATGAATTTTTATCTTCCTGAATCTCTCCCAGAGTAATCTTTCTCCTTTTCTGTCTGAAGATTTTTAACTTTTCAGAATATTTTCCTGGGAAGAAGTTCCAGCTCCTTAATAAATGTAACTTCCCATTTAAATTCTTCTTACAGGTTTCAGGGTATGTGAACTGGCAGCTAGAACAGGATGAAGTAACTAACACCACCTGAGGAGCCTCGAACAGTGCAGTCTGTCGGCGGAATGCTTTCTGGGCTGCAGTGGTTTTGTTTTTCTCATTTCTAACATTATTCTTTCAAGTATCCTTTAAGCTAAAAAGTAATGTGTTCCAATGAACATATTAAGAAAACAATGGACAGTTTAAAGCCTATCATAAATACAGTTCTAATGTTACCCTCTAAATTCTTCGTTCTCAAGTTATTAAACTGGTCTTTTTAGATCATTTTAGTTTTTCTTTTCCATTTGGTTTTAAGAGCTTTTGTTTTAATAAAAAATAACTATATAAATCAAATCGTGTATGGCTGTTTTTTTGGATAACACACGACAAAATCTTGTGGGGAACAGAAGGACTGCTTCTAAAAAATCTAATCTAATTATTTTCTTTGCAATAAAGTACAAACAAGGCAAAAAACCAACCAAAAACCCAGACGCCATTCATTCTTTTTAGAATCATGTAAACACAGAAATTTAGAATTAGATCAGAGCTGAAGATACTGCCTGGTTCAATTCTAAATCTCAGGAGGCTGTGGCCCAAAGCATACGTAGCTGAGGTCACAGAGCTAGCTAGTGACGGATGGATTTAGCATCTAGGTCTCCCGTATAAGGAAGTTTTCTCACCCCAACAAATTAGCCATAGGACAGGTTTCTAAGTAGCTCAAAGTTATGAACCAAACCAAAGCAATACATACACACATACTGGAATGTGCCACATATTATTAGGATACAATTTAATGTGTTGAATCCTACGTTTCAGTCTAAAAATAACCCTAAAAAATAAAACAAATCATATCACTGCAAACAGATGTTTTGTTATTTTTAAGGCATCTGAAGGTTTTATATATTTAGTTAATAGCTGACATAAAAGGTTCAGGAATTTCTCTTTCAATGCTGAAAGCTTGAGATCTGCTGCAAGATATGTCAAAAAAAAAAAAAAAAAAAAAAAAAAGAACTAAACCACTGCTCTTGCAGATCTGTTTTAACCACAACTCTCTGCTATGGAATAGTGGAAACTAATGTAGTGTGTCAGAACGTCAACATCTGAGATTCCTGTCCTCTCTAATTTTTGGCAGACGGGGAAACAAACTTCCTGTTGTGAGAAGATCTTATTCTGTAGCTAGCTGTTTGTGTGGAAATAACCTCATTTCACTGGCTTTTAGTAATGTACAAAACCTTTATACTGTATTTCTCAAATTTTAGCATGAGCGATTTCGACCTGCAATTAGCTGGAAAATTCAGGTTAACTAAAACCTCAGGACCCAATCGTGCTTAAGAAGATGCCAGCATGTATTAGAGCACACAGCAGGAGCCGGCGACCTCGCCGAGTGCTTTCAGATAACTTCACAATTAGGGAATTTAGGGTGGGATTTACATGAACCTTTGTACTACCTCACTTTGGTTCAGTCAAATCAAATTTTTCCATTTTCATTTGCCTTCTATAACTCGGGAGGCGCAGTGGTTAAGAGCGTGGCTGCTCAAATCCACCAGCCACTCCTTGGGAACGCTATGGGGCAGTTCTACTCTGTCCTGTAGGGTCACTATGAGTCAGAATTGACTCAATGGCAATAGGTGTTATATAACTCATGTAACAGCAGGTTAATATTCATTTAAGAAGCCACCTGTATGAATATTAGAGAACCAGGAAGGTATGTGGCAATACATAGTATCTATTCAAAAAATTTCTACCTGGAAACCTCAGAAATGGGTTTTATGAAGTTTTAGAGGCCACTGGCCATGATCGTAATTACTTTCCTTTGTACACACTGTTGAAAATATAACTCAGAACCACTGCTGGCACACAGAAATAACTAAGTAGTAAGCCTTAGATTAAAAAAAACAGATTTTCTGTATGATTTAAATAATAGGTAGTTCAAAGTATCTGGATTTATTTCATAAAATGCATCCTATCGGCCAGAAATGAGTAAAACTTGCTTTTTTAAAAGAAGTCCTCACTTGATTCATATAATTCACTTATAGCCTTCCCAATAACACCAAGCACAAAATATATAAAATGACATACAAAGTATTGCAAATATTTATAGATAACTTTACATAATTTATTTTCTAAATATAAAAAAAGCATTTACTATGTAATATCATGGATTTGGAGCCCTGGTGGTACAGTGGTTAAGAGCTACGGCTGCTAACCAAAAGGTTGGCAGTTCGAACCCACCAGCTGCTCCTTGGAAACCCTGAGGCAGTTCTACTCTGTCCTACAGGGTCGCTATGAGTCGGAATCCACTTGATGGCAACGGGTTTGGTTTGGTTAACATGGATTTGGAAACCTCCCTGAAGTCGAATGCAGTCACTGAAAACTATACTTGAGCTTCTGTCACTGAGTCCTTTCCATCAAGTGTACTGAGTGTGGCTCCATTCTCAACCTCCTTAGACTAAAACTGCTCTTCTGTCAGCAAGATGGTACCCTGGACTGAAGAGTGTGACTTTAGAAAACAGATCCCATACACTACAAATGAAACAAGGCGTAGGTCTAACTTCCCCCACACTAGTTATTATGGAATCAGAAAAAATTGCTAGGTTAAGAAATTATCTGGAGAAGCACATTCTATACAAAAAGTGATAATAAAAGAAAAGTGAACAGTTTAAGTGAAGTGTTATAAAATAGGGTCTCATACTAAGTCAGAGATTCTCCACTTTTTAGTCTCAGGACCCCTTTAAACTCTTAAATATTATTGAGGCCCCCAAAGGGCTTTTGTTATGTGGGTTATGTTTACTGATCTCTGTAATAATTGAAATCAACTCAAGATGCTTAAAAACATTTACTAATTCATTAAAAAAAACAAACTCATTATGTTTATAAAAATAACATTTTTTTTGGTGGAAAACAACTGCATTATCCAAAATTTTAACAAATTCAGTAAGAAGAGAGGCCCTTTTTCACATATTTGCAAATCATCTAATGTATGGCTTAACTAGATTGTTACACTTTCTTCAGCATTCCAAGTGTTGCGATGTTGTTTTTATTGAAGTATATACAGAAGTATACAAGCGTCTCTCACTGACATGAAGCTAGATAAGAAGAATCCCACAGATCCCTCTGAAAGTGTCTTGTGGACGCCCTCAGGGTTCCCCTGCCACAGTTCGAGAATCGCTGAACTAAGTATATAGCAGTTACTCAATAAACTTAGTGACTGGTATGGAAATAACAAAGGCAGTTTGGTAGGAAATTGTTAGTACAGTGTATCTCAAATAAATCCTCAAAATCACGCTTACTATATATTGTCAGAGTGCAAAGGATTAACATAATAAACATGGTATAAAACTCCTGTTTTACAACTCAAGGAGACAGAATAAAATCAACTTCACATAGTAAATAACCTAATTATCATTCTCTGCAAATTCCTGAATGGTCCTCATCCTGACTGCACATTTGTATTATCTGGGAAACTTTGAACTTGTGCGTGTGTGCGCACATACGCTCTCTCTCTCACACACACACCACTAATTCCTGGGTCTCACAAAATGGAATAAAAGAAACTTTTTAAAAAGCTGCATCACAGAACACCTAAAAATATAAAAAGTCACATTAAAAAATAATTCTTCATAAAACCACAAGGTAAAATTCTGTTTGTAAGCTTGATAATATATTTAAACAAAATAAATCTTTCAAAAAAAATATTAAGAGGGGATGAACACCAGCTGAACTATGAAAGCAACTAAATATCTCAAAACAATTCTGAAGAACCCCTCAGTTTACTTACCTGCAACATGCTGACTATCTCAACTTTGTTGAAGAAAATAAAAGACGTAAGAGTAGAAAGAAAATTCTCTTCAAAAACGGATGGTGTAGGCAAAATGATGTCCTGAATGTACTGTACCCTGTAAGTCTGATGTATCTTTTGCCTTAGTTCAGAGTCTGTTATTGGTATAACTTCCTTAAACTTTGCAGTTTTGGTCAAGAACTCTCTATGCCTTTTTGGCTGAGCCAAAGCAGGGTCGTATTCAAGGCATCCCACGACATCCATGATACACTCATCAGAAAACATTACCTCAAACAGAGTTGCCTTATTTAGGAATAAGATTCCTCTAATAATTTCATACAAATGGTGTAAGCCTTCAGTGTTTTCTAGGTTCTCACACGCTTGGAACAGCTGCAGTAGTTTTTTAATATAGCCTTCATTTTCCAAGGCCAGAGCCAGCTTTTCTCTACGGATAGGCGAGGAGAGAACTGAGGTAACTAAGTCAGCTATCTCTTCAAGTTTATTGAGTTCACACGTGGGCAGGTCAATCAGATGGCTGGTTTCCGGCATTTCTTCAAAGCGTTCCTCTTCTGATTCATCAATGAGGTCCTGGGTGACTTCCACTGAGGGATCCTTACCTTGAACCTAAAAATACCCAAGTACAGCTGGTTACCTTAAAACATGAAAGAGTTCAAAACTTTGGAAATCAAATCATTGGCCACTGAATATAAGTAAAAATACCTTGTAAAGAACCAATATTAGGAACACCAAATCAAAAAAGCCAAACCTGTTGCCGTTGAGTCAATTCCGACTCATTAGTTACCCTACAGAACAGAACAGAACTGCCCCATAGGGTTTCCAAGGCTGAAATCTTTACGGAAGCAGAGTGCCACATCTTTCTCCCGAGAAGCAGCTAGTGGGTTCAAACCGCCAACCTTCTGGTTACCAGCTGAATGCTTCACCACTGTGCCACCAGGGCTCCTATTAGGAATATGTTGTTGTTGTTAGGTGCCGTCAAGTCGGTTTGGATTCATAGTGACCCTACAGGACAGAGAACTGCCCCACAGGGTTTCCCAGGAGCATCTGGTGGATATGAACTGCCGACCTTTTGGTTAGCAGCCGTAGCTCTTAACCACTGCGCCACCAGGGCTTCATTAGAAATATAGTCACAGTTAATTAAGAGTGAAGTTAGTGGAGGGAAATTAGTTGAGTCTAGGCTACTGACGGCAGATTATCGCCCCTCTAAATTTCCCAACCTATAAATTAAGATTAATTCTAATCCCTGATAAATTGAATATTTCAGCCAATGTTATGTAGATATATGATGTTAAATTCTCTTAGAACCATGTGCAGGTGTTTAATAGCTGCACTATACCTAAGAATTTTGAATTTTGCAAAAGGTTAACTCTTTTGCTGGCCCCCAAAATCACTAAGTGTGATTCTTAAAGTAACTGACCACACCACTGCATTGGCCTGACAAGGACACTGCTGAGCTTAAACCAAACTAAAACTCCACTCCTTGTATATTCAACAGTCAGAAAATAAAGATTTTCCTCAAATTACTTTTGAAATTCACTTTACAAAAAAAAAAAAAAAAGGTATTTAAGATCTGTGGTAAAGTCTCCAAGTACTAATATCTAGATCAAAATCACAATCACATGATAATGAACAGAGATTCAGTTCAACATTCATAACTAAGGTTGACAGACTGCTCAAGATAAGCATGGTTAACTTATAACTAATTTTCTACAATGAATTACTCTATTCAACAACAAAAAATGCTTAGAACGTTACTCCTCATAAACTTTTCTAGTTTTAACCCAAGAATATAACTCTTCTCACTCTTTTCCACCTCAAAACATCCCAAATACCCTGAGTAGAAAAAGTTCCACAAATTTCCAAAACCACCAAAGCAACACTGAGGAAAGATCTAAGAGCTCAGAGAAAGAAAGAAACAGGTGCATACAAGGTACCTCTCTTCCTACAGGGATGAAAGCCCTTCTTTTATTGCTTAGTTCTCACCGGAGTCGCTGGGCATAGGGAAACTGACACATAAGAAAAGTATGATTAACGATGTCCTAAGAGCAGTCTGGATAAAATGTTACGGGAATTTAGAGGAAGAGAAATTGCCTTTTGTGGGGGTGTGAGGGGATATCAGGGAAAAAAATCAAAGAATCTGTGGCATTTGAGGTCTTACGTGGACTTTCAAAGACGGGTAAGATTCAGATAGAGGATGAAGGCACTTAAAGCTGAAGGGCAAGTACAGAGGCAGAAAAATGGGAAAAGGTGACATGCATATGGCAAACAGAACATTGAAAAAGCAGACTGAAGCCAGATCGTGGAAAGTCCAGTTAAAACAGTGTTACTGTGCGGGGAAGTGACGTGTGCACAGCTACCCTTTAGAAAGTTAAACTGCATCAGTTTTACGGGGTAAGTTGGAGGATGCAGACAAATTAAGGCATTATTCTAAAGTCTACACAAACAACTGAATTTGGGTAGTGATGGTAGGACAGATAGAGGATGGAACAGATGAGGACAGGTACCTGTTATAGATTCAACTGTGTCCCCCAAAAATATGTGTTGTAAATCCTATCCCCTATACCTGTGGTAAGGGGCCCTGGTGGTGCAGTGGTTAAAGCACTTGGTTGCCAATTGAAAGGTCGGCGGTTCAAACACAGCAGTGGCTCCACAGGAGAAAAATGTGGCAGTCTGCTTCTGTAAAGATTAGGAAACCCTGTGGGGCAGTTCTACTCTGTCCTACAGGGTCGCTATGAGTCGGAATCCACTTGACTGCCGTGGGTTTGTTTTTTTTATGGTTTATACCTGTGGTTATAATCCCACTTGGGAATGGGCTTTCTTTGTTATGTTAATGAGACAGTATTAGTATAGGGTGTGTCTTAAAATCAACAGTGTAGGGTATGTCTTAAATCGATCTCTTCTGAGATACAAAAGAGATTAAACAAGCAAGTGAGCAAGCAGAAATAGAGGAAGAGAGATGCCATGTCATATGAAGATCACCGAGGAGCCAAGCCATGCCAGACCTACAGATGCTGAAGAGACAAGGACCTTCCCCCAGAGCCAACAGACAGAATGCCTTCCCCTAGAGCGGATGCCCTGTATTTGGACTTTTAGCCTCCTAAACTGTGGGAAAATAAATTTGTTTGTTAGAGCCACTCACCTGTGGTATTTTCGTTATAGCAGCACTAGATAACTAAGATAGTACCGAAGAGAGGAGGGATCACAAATGACCCTATAATTTTAAACCTGTGACTAGAAAGATTAGGGCTTCTTTGAAAAAGAGGGGTTGATAAGAATTTAGTTTTACTAAGTTTGAGGTGTTTGAATACCCAGCTGCTAACAAAATTTGTGAGTCCACAACTCACGAAGAATAGAGAAGACAGAGACTTGGTATTAGGGCAACGTTAAGGCCAGAAGACTCCACGACAATAACCAAGAAAAGAAGAGACAAAGAGAAGTGGAGCGTGAGGTGAGGATGGAAAAGGAAGAAGAGGCGGGGTTATAAAGAAAGAAAAAGAGGAAATCATTATGAGTTAATTTGTACTTCGAAAAACTATAGTTTGTGTACGGCTAAGAATAAAAGCACAGCTCCACAGCACTTATTAGGTTCCAGCATGTTTATTTCTGTGTTATCTAGTATTAATCCTCACTGGCTTCCTGGATTTCCTCTTAGCTCACTGATCTTATCAATCCCAGATAAACCCAAATATCTGGATGCCATTAGTGCTGTCCACCAAGTATTTTTGGTTCTCTTTTTTGAAGCACCTGAATTTCTTGTTTCCTTGAAGCTACGCAGCTGTGTAACTTGCTCTGGCCAATGAAATGCGAGAAGTTAGATGTGTAACTTCAGGACACAACTTTTAGGAGCCAGTGCTCTGATTTGCCACCTTTCCTTCACTCTGCAATAATCTTCAAAGTGTTACAATGAATCCTCTATCAGTCTGAGGCCCTGAGTGCGCTGCTGAGCAGAGTCCACCCTCCTCATACCCTACTCTGCACTGGCAAATAGCACCAGGGAAAAATAACCTTTTGTTGTGATAAGCCACTGAAATTTTAGGATTTTGTTACCACAACATAACCCAACCTTAACATTCTTAAAGTCAGCCAACTAACTGTGCTGAATGGGTTCATGGTAAATCCACGCTATCAAGAGGGTTTAGTTGTAGGAAATCTTTGGGTGGCACAAATGGTTAAGTGCTCTACTAGTAGCTGAAAGGCTGGTGGTTCGAACCCACCCAGAGGTGCCCTGAAAGACAGGTATGGCGATCTGCTTTCCAAAGGTCACAGCCTTGAAAATGCTATGGAGCAGCTCTTCTCTGCACACATGGGGTCACAATGAGTTGGAACTGCCTCAACAGCCACTAAAAACAATATGCTTCTCACTGGAAAATTCTTTTTCATACCCGATTAATCTCCTATCCTAGTTCTTCAGTTGTTGCTTTACTCCCCTCCCCTCCCTTTTCAAGCCTCAAACGCTAACTTCACCTTTAAGTCTCAGAATGTGAGGCTTCCTTTGAAACAGAGGCCCTCAATACCGAACTCCCTCTGACCTCCTTCTCCATCTGTTTCCTTCATCTGTTTCCAAGAAAGTATCTCTATCTTCTTCTGTGGTAACAGTTCCACATGTACTTTCGGCCTGATGATTTCTAAAGGCTCAATATGCACCAGATACCTCTGTTCTTGTTTTCATAATGTCCTCCTCCCCAACGGTTCCTTCCGTTCTATTATTCTCCTAAAGATACTTCCTGCTCTCTGAGCTGTCAAACTTTTCCAGAGAAGAACGTTCTTTGTTCGACATCTTCATTATAAGGGATGTCTTCGTGATCTAAGGCTGCTTTAACAGAAACACCACAAATGAATGGCTTTAACAAACAGAAATTTATTTTATCACAGTTTAGGAGCCTAGAAGTTCGAATTCAGAGCGTTGGCTCTAGGGGAAAGCTCTTTCTCTCTATCGGCTCTTGGGGAAGATCCTGGGCGATCTTCATGTGGCTTGGCATCTCTCTTCCTCCATCTCTGCTGCTTAGCTTGTTTATTTAATCTCTTTTATATCTCAAAACAGATTGACTCAAGATACACCCTATAGTAATCCCGCCTCATTAACGTAACAAAGAGAACTCATTCTCAAATGAACTTATAATCAAGGGCACAGAGACTAGGAATTACAATACCTATTTTGGGAGGACACAATTCAATCTATAACATTCCACCCTTTTGGCCCACCAAAATTCATGCCCTTGCCATATCAAAATACACTGACCCCATTACATCATCGCAAAAGTCTTAAATCAACTCCAAGTCCAAAATCTGATCTTCTGAAGTATCTGAATCAAATATAGGTGAGACTTTAGGCATATTCCATCCTGGGTCAAAATTCCTCTTCTTCTGTGAACCTGTGAAATCTAGACTATGAGTTATGTTTCCAAAGGACAATGGTGGAATACGCACAAGGTAGACATTTCCATTATAAACGGGAAAAAATGGAGGGAGAGAAGGGATAATGGCACCCAGCAAGTCCAAAACCCAGAAGAACAATTTACGTTGGCTCTCAAGGTTTGAAAATAATCCTCTGTTCTTCGGGATTATCTGGACAACGACCCTGCCCTCCAGACTCTGGGGGTTGGCCA